CACCCCTTAATACCACCCCCACGGTACATTACTACCCCAAAAAACTGATATTTAACCAAATTGATGAATTAAATACTTTTCAGCTCTTATCTACTTTTTAATTATTTATAAACATTGCCTGGTTGCTTAAAAATTGAAAACGATCAATAACCCCTTGAAAACACCCTTAAAGTAAAATAATCATCCCTTGACGGTGAAAGTTTTTGTAAATGATTAAAAAAAATCTATAGATTCTAATTGTTTCAAAATTATAAACAATTATTTGAAAATTACACAGACATAGATAATAATTATAATAAACTCACCCCCTACCCTTGAAATCCACCCCTAATTCATAAGTTATGAGATACTGAATTCAGTTTTCAACAATCAAAAAAATAATTTTCATTGATTATTATTATATTGAGTAATGCATTGAGTACATACTCAATGCATTGGGTAAATGAAAGGGGGGAGTACGACAGTAGCAAAGAAGCTCCCATGTTGAACTGCTGTTATAAGCCAATCAGCGCGTCGTTTCGTTTCCTCTGTGTAGCGTTCTCCCACTACCTCACCGATTGAGCCTAGGTTTTTAATTTTCATTTTCATACTAAACTCCTAACAACAGACACTAAAAGCTACAAAATTAATAGGCAATAATGACACAAGCATTATTTTGCAATTTTAAAAACTGACATCATATTCGTAATTATCGACCCCGAAAACCCCTGAATAATAAGTTTCATATGAATCTAATGAAAGTTAATCATTTCGTCCGCCATATTGGATCCGCCATTTTCAATTTTCTAAATCTGATATCAGATTCGTAATCAGCGAACCCGAAAACCCCCCAAGTGGCAAGTTTCACATAAATCTAGTGAGTTTTTATATTTATCGGTCGCCATATTGGATCCGCCATTTTGAATTCTTAAAGACGGACATCGGATTAGTAATCAGCGACCCCGAAAACCCCCGAGTGATAAGTTTCACGCGAATGTAGTAAATTTTTATAATTGTCGGTCGCCATTTTGGTTCCGCCATTTTGAATTTTTGAAAACGGACATCAGATTCGTAATCAGCAACCCCGAAAACCCCCGAGTGACAAGTTTCACATAAATCTAGTAAATTTTTATATTTATCGGTCGCCATATTGTATCCGCCATTTTGAATTTTTGAAAACGGACATCGGATTAGTAATCAGCGACCCCGAAAACTCCCCAAGTGGCAAGTTTCACATGAATCTAGTGAATTTTTATATTTATCAGTCGCCATATTGGATCCGCCATTTTGAATTTTTGAAAACGGACAGCGGATTCGTAATCAGCAACCCCGAAAACCTATCTCAATGGAAAGCTTGACTAATTTCCTACAAAACATGTAATTTTCAGAGTGGGATCTTTTAAAGTTTTTGAGATATTAATTAATTAATTAATTAATGTTTATAACAAATGAAATATTTTACAAACGAATAAAGTTACCGTAATTCTGAAGTTAGTAATTAAAAGTTAACGTAATTCCGCATCCAACGAGCCCTATATGAAGTATTTTGGATAAGTAGATTGTTAATAAACAATTAGTTAACATTGCAATTGTTTATTAACAATCTACTTATTCAAAATACTTCATATAGGGCTCGTTGGATGAGGAATTAGCTTAACTTTCAATTGGTAAGTTCAGAATTACCATAACTTTATTTGTTTGTAAAATATTTTATTTTTTACTAACAACAAGCATCCAAAAGCCCTATATGAAGGTATTTTTGTTCAATTTTAGTTAAATAACAATAAAAAAAGAAATATCTTACAAACAAATAAAGTTATCGTAAATCTAAACTTACCAGTTGACAGTTAAGCTAATTCCGCATCCAACGAGCCCTATATGAAGTATTTTGAATAAGTAGATTGTTAATAAACAATTGCAATGTTAACTAATTGTTTATTAACAATCTACTTATCCAAAATACTTCATATAGGGCTCGTTGGATGCGGAATTACGTTAACTTTCAATTACTAACTTCAGAATTACGGTAACTTTATTCGTTTGTAAAATATTTCATTTGTTATAAACATTAATTAATTAATTAATTAATAACTCAAAAACTTTAAAAGATCCCACTCTGAAAATTACATGTTTTGTAGGAAATTAGTCAAGCTTTCCATTGAGATAGTTAAAAATAATTTTAAAAAATCCGATTTTGAGATAAACGTAAATTAACATTTTGACCTTGAATTTCAAGGTCAAATGTTACTTAAAAAAAAAAATTTTTATTAACAGCGTGTAGCTCGTCAAAAAAGCTTTAAAAATCATTATATATATGTTAACTTTTATGCATTCTACTTATAAATATTGTACATTGAAAAAAATTTTTTTTTCAAAAGTCAAAAATTAAAAACGTTGTAATTTAAAAACTATTTTATTAAATTCAATAATAATTGATTTTTAGACTTTCACCAACAATAACAACATTTTAGAAAAGTATGGATTAAATTCGAGAACTTTTAATTTTTTGTTCGGACATTTCAGGAATTTTGCCTCATATGTTACTATGAAAGCCTGAAAAAAAAATTTCTTCTGAAATTTATACCTGTTTTTTCATTTTTCTCATTTTTCGGGTTTTTTGAAGGGGTGTATTTCAAAGAGGGTAGTTTTTTAAAAAAATACATGTATTTGCATTTGTTACTCTATCCCTCCCCTTCAAAATGAGATCTTAGTGGAGTTAATCGATTAAGTTTTAAGAAAGTTATGATTTTTTGAAGTAGGTGGGACGTATGTGTCCCACTGGCCATGAAAGGGTTAAAGAAACTTCCCGCGAAACAACTTGGACAATTAAAATGGCGCCATCTGGCGGAGGCAGCCGGTACTTGCGCGGTCGGTAATTTGAAAATAACCCTTCACTAACAAACTTTAAATTCATGAAAGCATTTAAACTTACCGCCAAACAACTTGAACTTGACCGGTGGCGCCATCTATTGGTGGCAGCCCAAACTAACATGCTAGGAGAATTCGGAGGAAAATTTAAAAATTAAGTGGCGCCATCTATTGGTGTCAGCTCAAACTAACATGCTCAGGGAATTCGGAGGGAAATTAAAAAATTAATTGGCGCCATCTATTGGTGGCAGCCCAAACTAACTCGGTCGATAAAAAAGATTTTTAAATTTCCAAGCGACTTTAACTTTACCGACAAAATAAAGTGGCGCCATCTAGCGGTGGAGCTCCGAACTACCTCCGTCGGTAAAGTAGAGTTCTACATTGCCCTGCTCGGTCGGTAACTGGGGTCGTAGCCCCCTTACTATACTACTGAAATATATGTCTAGTTCAAGAAACAGACAACTTTTTTTTGTGTGCCTGTGTAATGTATGTAAATACAACATAACCTTAAATTTATTTTTGATGCTTTTTGCATTTACGAAAAGGTTTTAAATTAAAATTTGAATGATAAATTTATGAAATTACTTATTACAATTAATTTTTAGATATAATACTTGTTAAGTAGATAAATTATACTTTCCGTAGGTACAATTTAACCTTAAATTTTCTTTTGATACATTCGCAAATACAAAAATTTCTTGAATAATTTTTTTATCAATATAACCATATTATCCATTTGAACTATATAAATTTATTATTTAATTAGTCTCATAAATTATTTTTTTTACAGTTTATTAATAGTTAAAATTCATTTTGTCACGAATTACACGATAAATTACTGGCAATAGGATTCGATAAAGAAACTGTCTCGATTTTACGAGGTAATTTTTTAATGTTTTAATTTATTGTGATTAAAACTCATATATTACTTAAGAATTACATTATATATTTACTTTTGAAGTGTATTGTGATTCTGCTACGAGAACAAAAATGTTTATTCAAATAAACGTTCGAGTCTTATTTTAAATATTAATTAGTTAAAACGTAAATTAATTCATATTTTAATAAATTACAAATTCAACTATTTCAAATTAGAATCAACTAAAAATTTAATTAACCCTTAGAAGCATACATTTTTCATTAAAAGAAATTTATCGATCAAGTCCACTATAGGGGGTTTTTCGGGTTGCTGATTACGAATCCGTAGTCAGAATTTTCAAATTTTTAAAATTCAAAATGGCGGATCAAATATGGTGGGCAAATTTCTTAAACTTTGCATGGAATCACTTGAAATTTGTTACACGGGGGTTTTCGGGGTCGCTAAATACGAATCCGTCATCCGTTTTCATAAATTCAAAATGGCGGATCAAATATAGCGGACATTTTCAAAATTTGCATTGAATCGCTTTGAAATTTGTTACTCGGGGGTTTTTGGGGTCGCTGATTACGAATCCGACATCCGTTTTCACAAATTCAAAATGGCGGATCAAATATGGCTGACAACATTTTCAAAATTTGCATGGAATCGCTTGAAATTTGTTACTCGATGGTTTTCGGGGTCGCTGATTACGAATCCGACATCCGTTTTCACAAATTCAAAATAGCGGATCAAATATGGTGGACAACATTTTCAAAATTTGCATGGAATCGCTTGAAATTTGTTACTTGGGCGTTTTCGAGGTCGCTGATTACGAATCCGACATCCGTTTTTATAAATTCAAATTGCGGATCTTTTACCACTCGTGCTCCTACTTGTTTTTCTGTTGAAGCAGTTTTTCCTGTGTATATTTGGAATTCGCATATGTAACCAGACTCATCTGCTCTTGTCCAAGACTTATAACCTCGTTTTATTGGTTTGGCAGGCATATATTGCTTCATACTATTGCGACCTTTAAATTTTACCATTGTCTCATCAATCGACTGATATTTCCCTGGATTATAACAGGTGAAATAATTTAGATGCAATGCACAAGCTGCATAATGTAAAAAGAAAACATTATTTTTATTATGCAAGAATTATATAACATTGCACTTCCAAGCACGCTGCAGGATTACTTGTTTAACTTAGTCTGTAAGGTTAGAGGTTATGTTGAACATATATTTTTGGTAGACTACACTTTTTGAGTTTATTGTATGAGGTAAGTACGTACGTCATGGAAAGCGAAGTTGAATTAGTGGATGTTCCGAGTGACCCTGAGTCTGTAGATAATTTATGTGATTCGGATTCAGAAACCGAAAATGATGTCTGTCTTTCTCAAAGAGCAAAAGGTGCGTTAAATATTCCTTCCTTCCTTCCACATAGCCTTGTGGAAACAATAATAAAAGAAACAAATTTATATGCCCAACAGAAGAATGCTCAACAGGAGCCTGTGACAAAAAAAGAATTTCTCACATACCTAGGAATCAATGCGCTGATGGGTATAAAGAAATTACCTTCTTATCGGGATTACTGGTCGTCTAATCCGCAGTTACATGACGCATATATATCCCCTCTAATGTCAGTAAATCGGTTCGGTTTCTTTCTCAGTCACTTAGATCTAAATAACAACAATAATGAGCCCAAGAAAGGTGACCCAAATTACGATAAACTTTACAAATTGAGACCTATGATCGATACGCTCAATGAGACATTCAAAACCTGTTATAATCCAGGGAAATATTAGTCGATTGATGAGACAATGGTAAAATTTAAAGGTCGCAATAGTATGAAGCAATATATGCCTGCCAAACCAATAAAACGAGGTTATAAGTCTTGGACAAGAGCAGATGAGTCTGGTTACATATGCGAATTCCAAATATACACAGGAAAAACTGCTTCAACAGAAAAACAATTAGGAGCACGAGTGGTAAAAGATCTAACGCGTGAACTTGTTGGCGGTAACCACCATGTCTATTTTGACAACTTTTTTACGGGGGTTGATCTGTTAGCTTCTCTGAAGAAGGATAAAATTTTTGCATGCGGAACAGTGAGATCAAATCAAGCTAAATTGCCAAAAAGCAGATAAAAATCTCAAAATCGGAGATTACGAATTTAGAACTTCGACTACAGGACTTCAGTGGATCATATGGATGGATAAGAAGCCCGTTCACTTTTTATCCAACTATCATGATCCTACTGAAATTACTGTAGCTAATCGTAGACAAAAAGATGCATCATTGCTATCTGTGAATTGTCCAGTTATATCTGCTGACTACAATAAACACATGGGGTATGTGGATTATGCTGACAGGCTTTTAGCAACTTTAAAAATTGATCGAAAGTCAAGAAGATGGTGGTTACGTTTATTTTGGCATTTCGTGGATCTAGCCATTGTGAACTCATTTATTATTTACAACAAACGAAACCCTGAGATTTCCTTGACTTTAAAAGACTTTCGACTGAAGCTTGTTGAACAATTGGTGGATCATAAGCTGCCAACACCAAAAGGTAGAAAACGAAAAGCACAAGCCGTAAATAGGTACAAACCGCAAGTGACTCTCACGAAAAGGCAGTCAGAATCATCTCACACGCTTGAGCATAGGACTGATTTCAGACGTTGTGCGCACTGCAGCACAAAAGCTGACCCTAGAAAAACTGCTTGGGTTTGTACAAATTGTGATGTACCACTGTGCTTATCATCCGCAAGAAACTGTTTTGCAGATTATCATAAGTAATCTGAAGAAGCAAAGTCAATAAACGAAGCATAATATAAAATTTATTTTAATATTTATATATTTATTATATATTATAATATATTTCAAAATATCAAAGAAAATTTTAAAAAATGATAAAAAAATTTTTAAATTAAAAAATAAAAAAAAATACAAAAAAACCAAAAAAAAACAAAAAAACAAGGAACTATACACTCGTCACGTCCTCGCCGTTAGTTCTGGGTAGCGCTAAGAACGAGTAAACCTTTGGTATATTTCAAAATTGGAGTATATCATATTTTGCAAACTTTTTTAAAAATATGTTACTCATTTCGGATCAGCCATTTTAAATTTTGAAAAACTGACTTCAGATTCGTAATCAGCGACCTCGATAACCCCCGAGTAACAAATTTCAAGAGATTCCATGCAAATTTTGAAAATGTTGTCCGCCATATTGGATCCGCCATTTTGAATTTATGAAAACGGATGCCGGATTCGTATTCAGCGACCCCGAAAACCCCTGTGTAACAAATTTCAAGCGATTTTATGCCAATTTTAAATGTAAAAACTTGAATATAATAGGTGGTCAGCAGCACTGACCAGTGTGCTTCTAAGGGTTAATTCTAATTTTAATCAATTTAAAATTTAGTTATTCCAAATTTTAATAAATTAAAAATTCAATTAATACACATTTTAAATAAGAAGGAATGATACACTTTAAGATAACCTCAAAACTGAAAAATTGTTTTTAAGTATTTTAATGCAAACAAAATTATAATAAAAATTCGTTGCAAGTAATTTAAGAAAATCATGATGTACTTTTTAAAAAAACAATGTTGGGTCAAAATCATTCTTTAGATAATTAGTATTTTACCATTTTAACTTTTTTTCTTTCAGCTCCGACAAAAATCGAAATTTTTATCCATTTTTAATAAACAAGAGCTTATTTTATTTAGTGAAACGTTCTCCACAATCGCTTTACTTTTAATATTGTTAAAAATAACATAATTAAACATCATTTCCGTTGGAAAAGAAGAATTATGTCTTTATAAGAATTATTGTCGCTGACCTAATTAAAGCACAAAATGATAATTAGTAAGAGTATTTTTTAAAAATTTATCTATTATGGAATGCTTGTAAATATTTAGATTTTGATGAAAAAAAATATAAGAAATCACGAGCAATGCTCTCTTAGTTCTATCAATCTTTCAAATACAGATTGTCCACTTCTATCGCAAGAAGATGCAGAAGAAACGGTATATCTAATTAATTTTTATATTTTTATTTTTATTACAGCGGTGTCAAAAAAATTTAGTACGTTTGAATAAATTGCTTAAAAATGCTTGAAATTATTTTATTGAGTAATTTATATAAAATGTAAGAAAATAAGAAAACTCATAGAATTCAAAGCAAATATTGTTCATTGTTAAGTGCATTCATGGTAAATAGTCAAAACTTAAAAGTTCTTTCTTTAACTCAATTTAATTTTAAATGAAGTGAGCGTTTTTATCAATCTATCTAAATGCACTGAACCTTTTTAAACACACTGTAAAATAATTTTAAAAACGAATTAAAATTATTTGTTTTTGATTGTTTTCTCACAGCATGAATTACGTAAGCCCATTTCTTACATATTTTAAATTAACAACATTCCTATTTTAGATATCGTTGATGCAGTGTACAATGCCAACCGAAAATGAAAAAGCAAATGTAAAACATTACTTGCGAGAAACTTATAGTAACAGAAGATAATGGATGGAAAAAGCAAGTCCTAGAATGGAAGAAATTGCCGAAAAGTACCCCAGGTTATTCGATTACTCTGGAGAAATGGTAAAAAAAATTTCTACCACTAAAATAGTCTAATGTTAATGAATAATAAACTAAAACTTTAATTTAAAAAAATCGGACAAGTGCGAGTTACACTCGCACTGAAATCGAGGGTTCCGTACTCGAAGCGAACTTATTTGGTATAAAAACAAATGTTTAAAAAATTTGTGTTGTGTATTAAATAATATATGTGATACAAAAATGAACAATTTTTAAAAAAAAATTTAAGAAAATTGTTCATCTTCGTATCACTTATATTATTTGAAATACAAAACAAATTAAAAATTTTTTTTTGTTTTTATACCAAAGGAGGAACAATTTTCTTAAATTTTTTTTTAAAAATTGTTCATTTTTGTATCACATATATTATTTAATACACAACACATATTTTTTAAACATTTGTTTTTATACCAAATAAGTTCGCTTCGAGTACGGAACCCTCGATTTCAGTGCGAGTGTAACTCGCAATTGTCCGATTTTTTTCGTTTTTTGCGGAAAAATACATTTTTTTATTAAATTTATCATTTTTCTTCAAAAATTTGATAAAAATTGATCATCAACTCCAATCGCGCTTACATTTTTTCCCTGTATTTTTCACGCAAAAATACAGTTTTACAGCAAATGTGAACAATTTGGGTTGAATATTGTGTACGCTAGGGAGAATAAATAATTTTTTTCGAAATTTTTGATTTTTCCTTGACAACGCTATGTAAATTGATCGGAATCAAGTTCGCTATATTTTTTCTGTAATTTTCACGTAAAAATATGTAAGTGTACCAAATTTGAGCTTTTTATGTCAAAAGATGTGGCCGCTAGGGGGGGGGGTACATAGTCATTTTTAGGCATTTTTCGTAAAAATTCATGGTTTTTCCTTGACAACGCTATGTTAATCAATTCCAATCAAGTTCGCTATATTTTTCCTGTAATCTACCCGCGAAAATACATATGTGTACTAATTTTCAGCCCTCCAGATAAATTTGTGTGGCCGCTAGGGGGGGGGGGGTAAACGATTTCAAAAAAACCGATATTAATAGGGTTCCGAACCGAGTACGGAACCCTAAAAAAGATACTTTATAAGAATTTATCAAACAGATCACCTACAATTCTCAAAAATAATTATTTTGCAACGATAAATCATTTTTTATTTCTAGTGATCAAAATAAGTTTCTGAAATTTTCAGCCAAAAAAATGTATTTGACATAGTTATTAAGAGTTTAGTTTTTAACAGTCTTAAATAAAAAAATTGTTTCTCTAAATTCGGTTGATCGATTTAAAAATCAAAAAACGTATTTTTTGGCTTACTTATTTACCAGACGTAAATAAAAAAATTTTTTATTAAATGAGGCTGATCGATTTATGTTATTTATAATTTATTAATGCTCTTTCAAATTGTTCATTTATAAAATGTTATTAAAAAATTGTGTTCTTCATATCTCCTCAAGAATTTAAAATTTGTTCAATATTCCACATACATGTCTGAGTACACGGTGCGCGGGAACGAGCTTAGAAATTGACAAAAATGACGACAAAATCTGATAGTGCCATCTTTTTTATCACTTAAAATTATGTAAGAAAATGTTTTTCCCAAAATCTAAATCGCAGAGTTTCGCGTTTTTTAAATCATTTTGTAAAAAAAATAACTTTTTAACACTAAGTCTTTTTTAATGCTTTAAACTTTTTTATATATAGATGATTAAGATTAATTATTTTTATTTTAGCATAAATTATAAATTTGGTCATAAAATACAAAAGTTAAACTTTTTATAGATCACAAAAGAGATCATAAGCTACTGCTCAAATTTAAACACCGCGTGACATGGTAATTTACTAGTAGTCCAGTCAAGTTAGTCTAAAAACAAGGCATATCATGTTTTAACTCAGGACCTCAATTTTTTTCCCTTAAACCCTTTATTTTGGGGTAAAAAGAAAGTACCTAAATTTGGTACTTCGAACTGCAACCGGAACCTAAAATTTTTCTTAAGAAATAGGTGCAAAAATTCAGTTTTCAAATTGCCGCCTTTCGTGACATTTTAGTATAAAAATACTTATTATAAAAATGAAAGTGTATCAAATTCTGAGTAATTTGATAAAAAATGAATCCTGTAGCTCAAAAATTTATCGAGATATAGGTTCCGCAAAAAACAAATTTTTTTTGAGATTTTAGCTAAAATGAGGTATTTATCAGTTTTTCCAATATAGCTTTGAAACAAATAATTTTTTGAAAAAATTGCCTAACTGGAAAGTTAAAGCTGACAAAATTCCTAACAATTTGCAAAAAAGAACAATGCAATAACTCTGATAGTTTCCGAGATACAGTCTCTCAAATATGACCCTTTTGAAATTTTACATAGAATCTCATTTTATTACCATTGTATGTAAAATCTCAAAAGGGTCAACTTTGAGAGACTGTATATCGGAAACTATCAGAGTTATTGCATTGTTCTTTTTTGTAAATTGTCAGAAATTTTGTCAGCTTTTATGATAAAATGTCATGAAAGGCGGAAATTTGAAAACTGAATTTTTGCACCTATTTCTTAAGAAAAATTTTAGGTTCCGGTAGCAGTTCAAAGTACCAAATTTAGATACTTTCTTTTTACCCCAAAATGAAGGGTTTAAGGGAGAAAAATTGAGGTCCTGAGTTAAAACATGATATGCCTTGTTTTTAGACTAACTTGCCTGGACTACTAGTAAATTACCATGTCACGCGGTGTTTAATTTTGAGCAGTAGCTTATGATCTCTTTTGTCATCTATAAAAAGTTTAACTTTTGTATTTTATGACCAAATTTATAATTTATGCTAAAATAAAAATAATTAATCTTAATCATCTATATATAAAAAAGTTTAAAGCATTAAAAAAGACTTAGTGTTAAAAAGTTATTTTTTTTACAAAATGATTTAAAAAACGCGAAACTCTGCGATTTAGATTTTGGGAAAAACATTTTCTTACATAATTTTAAGTGATAAAAAAGATGGCACTATCAGATTTTGTCGTCATTTTTGTCAATTTCTAAGCTCGTTCCCGCGCACCGTGAGTATGAAGCTGTTAGGAAACAAATTTCCCTCAATAAGAAATAAGATAATTAGCAATAATTATTTATTTATAAAATTTTTGAAATTATAACTGAGGCATTTTTGTAAACTACATTTCAGAAGAAAAAAAATATTTTTTTATTTTTAAATCCATCAACCTCATTTCGAGAAAAAATGTTGTATTTAAGACTTAAAAATCAAATTAATAATAACTTTAAAAAAACATTTTTTGAACTAAAAATTGTAGAAACTTATTTTAATCACAATGTGAGTAAAAAAATGATTTACTGTTTGAAAATTAAAATATTTGTTTTCAGGTAATCCGTTTGAGAAAATCTAATCTTACTATATACATAAACGTAATTTATATTGCTTTTACATTAGATCAATGAAGAGTATAAACTGATCTTCGACAGTAAAGTATCTGAAAACGGTAAAATATTCTTGAGTCGTTTTCCAACTTGGGCTACACCCAGAATTTTGCATTACTGCAAAGAAAGAAGACCGGATATTTTTAAAAAAGCTTCTATAGTAAAGGATGGTTTACTTTTTTTTCCTCCTCATTTGCTCTCGCCATTCTCAAAATTCCTGGACTAAAAAAAATTGGCAATAGGTATTTCTTATGTATTTTTTAGTCCTCTTTCGGAATCTTCAAGAAAATTTAACTTTTGACTTAAGGATAAAAAGTTATGATTATTTAAACAAAAAAAAAGACGGATTTCTTGGGTTTTTTTTCATTAAAACTATATTTTAGATTTGAAATCGCGTCAGAAAAAATTTGGAATGACAAAATATCGCGTCCAAAATGTCTGCCCTTTCATTTAGTGATTATAAGAAATTTTTATTTTCTCAAAATTGAAAATGGCGCCTCCAAAATGGCCGCCAAAATGTATGAAATTAAATCTTTCAGTCCCACTATTAAAAAACTAAACAAATATCTACGAAACTTGTTACTCGGGGGTTTTCGGGGTTGCTGATACCGAATTTGAGGTCAGATTATCAAAATTCAAAATGGCGGATCCAATATGGCGGACGACATTTTGAAAATCGAACGCAATCGGCTTGACACTTGTTACTCGGGGGTTTTCGGGGTCGCTGATTCCGAATTTGAAGTCAGATTTTAAAAATTCAAAATGGCGGATCCAATATGGCGGACGAAAAAATAGTACGGCTGAGAAAGTGACAGATAAAATAAATACTAAACGCATTTTCTATTTGAAATGACTGAACTCATTATAAAATTAACATTTTTAATAAAATTTTATCACTAGATAATATTTAACAATATTTATAAACAATTTTATAAACAAATTGTGATTTGAAAGACTTTCATAATTGGAAAACAATAATTTTTTTCTTATCCTTGTTTTTATAGTTGCAACGAATTTTGTAGATAAAAAATCTTTAACAATATTATTTAACAACATTATAAACAATACTATAAACAAGTTAAAAATTAATAAAAATTTATGCTGAGAAAAGTGTTTTTTTTCCAACGACTTTTCTCGTTTCTCTTGATGAATCTTTAAAGAAAATATTGATCACAATTATTTAACAATGTTATAAAGAATTCTTATAAGCAAATTCCGAATTACTAACAATGAAGGTGAAAAAAAATGTTTTTTCCCACTGACTTCTTTTCTGCAGGGTGAATGTATCTTTAGGTCTAAAATTTTTTAACATACGTATGTTATTGTAATGAGTAATATCATCTAAAAGCATTAAACTGACTGAAAGGAAGGGCATCATATCGCGCTTGCGCGGGATTGTAGTGGGGAGCCGATTTCTATTCCCACTTCCATTTAAATTCTACGATAGATAGTCTTCGAACGCTGTATAATTAATTATTTTAGAAGCGATTTTTAAATTGGAAGTAAGTATATCTTTTTTTTATTTTTTATTCTTATTTCAGATGTGGAGAAAAAAAGATCAAAAAAATCGCCCTACTCTGAGCATGAAATTCTGCAGAGTGACAATTATGCTGACGTTTTAGTTAATTTAGATAAATTTGATTCCAATGAGTCAGATAGCTTTACTGATGATGATGATGATGATAATGATGATGATACTATCGGAAAATTATTATTATCATCATCATTATCATCATCAACTGACGATGATGATTGTGACTTTCCGACATCTTTTTCTAAAGTATCAAAAAGCTATGTTGCAAGTCAAACAAAATTGGAGTCTCAACATAAATATACCTGGGTGAATAATGAAAGGAAGTACGATTTTGACGCTAAAAATTATTGCTTACTCACTGAAAGTCAAAAAGAAAAATTTCGTAAGAATTCCGAGACGGAACTATTTGAATATTTTTTTTCTCATGAGTTGAAGATGTTCATAATTGAAGCCGCTCAGGAAAACGGTTTGATTATGACACTTCAAGAATTAAACACATTTTTAGGAATTATGATTCTGACGATATTTAACCAAAGGACTGCATATAGAGATTATTGGTCTACTGATAAAATGCTTAATTGCGAACCTATATCCAAGGCTCTGACGCGTGACAGATTTGAAAGCATAAAGAACAAAATAAAGTTGTCCAAGTGTTGTGATAAAAATTCGCACGACAAAGCTTGGCGCGTACGTGCTGCATTAGAAATCTTCAGAAAAAACCTGCTACAATTTGGATTTTTTTTAACTGCCTTGTCTGTCGACGAAATGATGGTTAAGTTTTTCGGTAGAATGGTATTGAAGCAATTTATAAAAGGAAAGCCTGTACGTTTTGGCATAAAAATGTGGGGTATTTGTAGTGTAGAAGGTTTTTTATTTGATTGTGATATTTATTGCTGCAAAGGTTCTCCTATTCAATGCGACAATTTAGCAATAATAAGTAAATGTGCTTTGGGAAGTCGCGTCGTATTACAGATGGTAAACAAATTACTCTTGTTCACTACACCAAGGAAATTGAATCAATATTATTTATATTTTGATAATTATTTTACCAGTCCCGATCTGTTGGTACACTTAAAAAACCTTGGCTTACGAGCAACTGGTACCGTAAGAAATAATCGTATTGGTACTAAAAACGAAATCAGTAATAAGAGTCAAAGAGGTACTTTTGTCGCCAAACATGACAAGAATAGTGGATTAAATTTTGTAACAGTTATGGATTCCAAACCGGTGTCCATATTATCTACTATGTCTGGAGTATCGCCTATTGGCAAAGTTGAACGGTATTTAAAAACAGAAAAGAAAAAAGCAGAAATTGACTTTCCTCGATGTTTTTTGTATTATAACAAATTCATGGGGGGAGTTGACCTACATGATGCCTATTGTAGCCAACTGATGCCTCCTATTAAAGCAAAAAGATGGACGTGGACAATATTTAAGCGATGTATCCAAACATCGCTCGCAAATGCCACTGTGCTACGGAATGTTGCATTTGCAGAAAGTGGAAAGAGGGTAAGCGCAAAAGACATGGCTTTAGCTGTAAGCAAGGTATATTTACAAGAAAGTAAAACAACTCCGAAAGTATTCCTCAAATCGTCAGTCCAAGCTTTAAAAAGGAGCTGTGAAAATCAAATCTGTGCTACTCGCACAAATAAATTTTGCAATGATTGCAAAAAATACTTCTGCAAAGAATGCTTTCTAAACTTGCATAAATAAGCAGCAAAGAAAAAATAGTATTCGCTGTCTTCCAGGATTTAATTCGTGTTCAACACTTAGTTTTAATAAAAGTAAAAAAATTAATAAATATAAAAATTAAAAAAAAATATAAAAATTAAAAAAAAAATAAAAAAATAAATAAAAATTAAAAAAAAATAAGATTCTTGACAAACGTTAACCTCCTAGTGGTAAGAATCGGGCAACCGCGACATCTTCGGCGGCTAATAAACGTTTCAAAAACATTAAAAATAAATTTATCAGACAGCCAACAATTTCTTTTAAAATCTTTTTTAAATTTCAGTCATTTTGACGGCCGTATTATTTTTTCGACCGCAATATTGGATCCGCCATTTTGAATTTTGAGGATTCGAAAAATCTGACTTCAAATTCGGAATCAGCGACCCCGAAAACCATCGAGTAACAAGTGTCAAGCCGATTGCGTTCGATTTTAAAAATGTCGTCCGCCATATTGGATCCGCCATTTTCAATTTTTAAAATCTGACTTCAAATTCGGAATCAGCGACCCCGAAAACCCCCGAGTAACAAGTGTCAAGCCGATTGCGTTCGATTTTCAAAATGTCGTCCGCCATATTGGATCCGCCATTTTGAATTTTGATAATCTGACCTCAAATTCGGTATCAGCAACCCCGAAAACCCCCGAGTAACAAGTTTCGTAGATATTTGTTTAGTTTTTTAATAGTGGGACTGAAAGATTTAATTTCATACATTTTGGCGGCCATTTTGGAGGCGCCATTTTCAATTTTGAGAAAATAAAAATTTCTTATAATCACTAAATGAAAGGGCAGACATTTTGGACGCGATATTTTGTCATTCCAAATTTTTTCTGACGCGATTTCAAATCTAAAATATAGTTTTAATGAAAAAAAACCCAAGAAATCCGTCTTTTTTTTTGTTTAAATAATCATAACTTTTTATCCTTAAGTCAAAAGTTAAATTTTCTTGCAGATTCCGAAAGAGGACTAAAAAATACATAAGAAATACGTATTGCCAATTTTTTTTAGTCCAGGAATTTTGAGAATGGCGAGAGCAAATGATGAGGAAAAAAACGGACTTCTCGGACGAAATGGGTTAAGTTATATTTTTATATTATGTTTAAGTACCCATTTTTTGCAGATAATCTAAAAGCCCTTATGATACTTCCATCATTGTTACCGGTTACGAATTTCACTGCTAAAAAGCGATTCCTAGAGGAGCAACCAGTGGAGCAGAATAAAAAATTTAAAACAACAAAAGGGAAGAAAGGAAAAAAAGTAAAGCCAATGATGAAAATGATGATAATAGTACATCAATGTCACAAGCTTCTTTCCCAAACCCGGATTTAATAAAAATCATTACGGCAAGAAATTTTTAATTTTTAATTATATAATATTGTTTAATTTTTTGCCAATTTAATATTTAAACAATTATTAAATTAAGAAAAAAAATTATTAAAAAACATTAGAATTATTTTCTTTACTGTGTTTAATATAAGTAGTAATTTTATTTTTAAGCATTATTAAATATTAATTGAATTATTAATTTTGCAGGAAGGAAAAGATTTGACAAAAGCGATAGAAAATGTGCAGACTGCTTCAAAGGGTACAGTCCAACCGTACATTCTTTGTGTTCAAGCGCAGAAAGTAGAAAAGTACTTTATTGTTGGCGATGGGAAACTTATAAATGTTGATAAAAGAACAATGCCAATTGTAGCTTTCGATTTACTTTTTAAGTTACATTATGTAACAAACGTACATTTTGCGTCTTATTTGATCTTCTTTTACAATTTTATAGATCACTATTTCTATAAAACACAGACTGAATCCCCCAAAAGTTCTCTGGGGTCACTTTATACTACTTTAGATAATATTCAACTGCGAAATGAAAATGAGAAATCAGATGAGTATGAAGACTCGGACTAATCGTGTAATTAATTTTGATTTGACTTGCTTAAAAGCAATACTTGCAGTGTTTTGAATCGTTATGTTTATTTTAAAAAATTCTATAACTGAAAGCGAATCCACCAAATACTTAACCTCCAAAGCATTATTACTATTATAATAAGTTAAATTTAATTACATAAATGTGCGCAAAGATATTCGGGTTTCGACGATAAAAATTGAAGTTGAGTTGAGTTTCTTCTAAAGAAAAGTGTTTAATGTTTGTTCGGTTTTTAAAATTTTATGATTAATATTTAAAAAGTGCGTACTCGCAAAATGAAAATGAGAATTCAAAAGAGTATGAAGACTTCGACTAAACGTGAAATTATAATTTTAAGTTGATCTCCTTAAAGGCATAATATTCGCGTAGTATCTTGAAACGTTTTATATATTTTGAGAAAATTTTATATTATTACTTTTCTGTAACTTAAAGGGAATATACTAAATATTAGATCTCCAAAGCATTATTATTATAAGTTAAACTTAATTACATAAATGCGCGCAAAGACATCTGATTTTTTACGATAAAAATTGCACGGAGAGAAGGGCGTAGTAGATCTTACTACTATCTCAGTTAAATCTACTAAACAGTATCGTTCATTTTGGACGGACTAAACATTCAGTTAAATGAACGATACTGTTTAGTAAAAAAATTTACACGATTATCGATAGAAAAAAATTTACCGACAGAAACGAAATGTAGAAATCTGATTAGTTGTCCGCAATCTGGTTAATTGCGGACAACCAATCAGATTTGTGCATTTTTTTTTGTCGGTAAATTTTTTTGTGTGACAGAACTATAGTAGTCCCTCTGACTACGCTGTTTAGTAGAATCTGGACTAAACGTGTTTAGTAGAATAGACTAAATCTCTTCTCTCCGTGTGAAGTTGACTTTCTTTTAAAGCAAAATGTTTAATGTTTGTTCGTGTTTAGAAGATTACTAAAAAAATAAATTATTTTGTTCTTAAAACTGTTTAAATGATTTTATCAATCACTATTATTACTGTTTGAAAATAGTCAATTCACTGATTAAACCAGTGATTTTTTTCTAACTGGTTAAATCAGTGATTTTTTTTTCTTACTGATTAATGAAATTTCACTGATTAAGTGAAGTAACCGACTTCTGGCTATTTCAATCAGTGAAATTTCACTGCAAATCAGTGAAATTTCACTGCAAATCAGTGAAATTTGACTGATTCAGATTAAGAGAGCAGATAGATCGAAAATTATCAGTTTTTACTTGAAAACGCTATGATAATCAACTCCAATCGTGCTCACTATACTGTTTTGTAATCTAAACGTAAAAATACGTAAAATGTATAAATTTGAAGCCCTTTACATAAAATTTTCTTCGTTTTTTGAGAAATATTCATGATTTTTATCGAAAATTATCAGTTTTTCCTTGAAAACGCTATGATAATCAACTCCAATCGTTCTCGCTATATTTTTTTGTAATGTACACGTAAAAATACGTAAAAATATATAAATTTGAATACCTTGAGATAAAATTTTCTTCTTTTTTTATTCAAAAAATTCACGACTTTTTCTAAAAATATGAGTTTTCTTTAAAAACAATATGAACATCAACTCCAATCGTGCTCGCTATATTTTTCCTGTAATCTACACGTAAAAATACGCATGTATACCAAATGTGAACTGTCTTGGTCAAATATTGTGTGCGCTAGGGAGATTAAACCATTTTTTTCGAAATTTTTTATTTTTCCTTGACAAAGCTATTATAATCAATTCCGATAAGATTCGCTACTTTTTTCCAGTAATCTACACACCAAAATACATATGTGTACCAAAATTCAGCTCTCTTGATAAATTCATGTGGCCGCAGGGGGGGGGTACATGCCTTGCTTCAATAGTCTCACTAATAGGGCTCCCCCTTCGGGTACGGAACCCTAAAAGGCTACTTACCCGATTAAATTCAATGAATAACTTATACAAATAACTATATCTTTCTCAAGGAAAAAAAAGAAAAAAGTATGTATTTTTTAGCACTAATTGTTAAAGAACACAAATGTGCGTTTGCACAATTGAATGTCTACTGAAAACTCAGCTCCCGTCAATAATTATAAGAAAAAAATTCGGTTGACAGATATGTAAATTGTGAAAAAAAATAGCTGGTGGCCCACTTCTTACTGTGGCCGATTTCTATCGATGCGACCCTATGTATGTGTAAAATACAAATCGAATAAAAAAATCACAATTTCATTTTTGTTAAAATTTTAATTTCATCAAGATTAAAATTTTTTGAAATTTAATCCTGGAAATATTTCCTGAAAGTTCCTTAATAATCTGATATAGCAATTGCATTTTTTCTATCTTAACCTATGTTTGCTGCAAATAGCTATAAAAAATAACAAATTATTATTACTTACATAGTATACATAATATTGTTTTTTTTGGTTTTTCTAAAATAAGTTTTCTGTAAAAATAAAAAAGATTTATCGAAGTTTCTCTTTCGTGTTGTAATATTTATTTAAAAATTAAATATAACAAATAAGTTTTTTAAAATACAGGTTTCAGTTTAACATTGTTCATATGTAACCACATTAATTAATTGAATAGTAAAAACTTTCTCTTTCTAATTACTAATCTATAATTAAGTACTATTCTATCTCCTTCTATGTAACACACATGTAACAAATTATATTTTAAACTTATTATACTGCTGAATGAGAGGAACATCGAAATTTTCAACATGTGGGTTAAAAAGTTTTTCAACAGTTGGCAACGAGTGCGCGCGCATCACGTCGACGCCACAGTTACCAGTCGGTCGCTTTACCTTACTATTTTAATACCTAACTAATTTTTGAAGCAGAAAAAAATTTGTACAGCAAAAATATTTTTCTGAAGAAAGTGCAGATCATAGTTCAAAAAGAAAATTATAAAATCTTCCCAGCAAACACGAATACGTAATGGTTATATATTTGTTCTATAACAAGATGTAACATGTTCTGTCACAAGCTTGTAGCATGTTACAAGCAGGTTATGATAAATGTCAGCTCTGATCTCTGTAACAGATATGTAATGAATACATAACACTGTTACTAGTGATTTATAACAGATATGTAACGATTATATAAATTAATTACAAATTTTTTAAATCCAGTAACAACATCTTATATAACACATATGTAACAAATATAGAACTTTGTTACAAAAAAAATACAGTTAAAATTAATATAATAAATTAAGAGAGTGTCATATTTTGTCTTAATTTGATGTTGATAATGTTAATAAAATAAAAAAAAATTAGTAATCCTAACACATTCTCGAAATTTTTTAACCGGTTGTCTCCCGAGATTCGAGCTTTCGACCATCACTAGTGTACTTACACTGCAGAGCTCAACCGTACTGGGAGCTGCGCCTAGACGCGCTCGACCAAGGGAGACTACAAAGGTTTCTTAGGAAATGTTCCTTGTAACAAACACATGAAATAGATAGGTTTATTATTTTGTAAGACCATCAAACAATTTTTTAGTTGTTTATTATTTATTACAATGAGTATATTAGCATATCGTTTCTAAAATATTAATAATTTTTAACAATATAAATAATTTTTATTTGTTAATTCTTAAATATGTTAATTAAAATAAATGTAAAAATTGTTAAATCTTTTAATTATTGTATTTTAAAATTTATTACCTTTTAATTTTTAATTTGAAAGGAAATAAATCTTTGCTTTAGTCAAGAGGACAGTACATATAAATTTCAATTTTCTCCAAAAAAGTAATTAAGTAACAATGTTGAAACAGTAAAATTTTTTTAATTAACTAATATAATTTATATTACTCATAATAGTGATTTATAACATTATATATATAAGAATAGTGTGATGTAAAAAAAAATTGGTAAGTCTCAACAAATTGCAAGTCTTATAGTAATTTTTTACGCAAAGAATTTAAAAATTACTTAAATATAAAACAAAGCAAATATTAAATTTCTAATAAATATAAATTATAAAAATGTACGAAATTCCAAACATTTAATCTTACAACAAAAAGGATGAAACATTTAATGACATTTGTGACTGAAGTGTTACAGAACATTTGTAGATTTGACATAATGTTATAATTCTCGAACAGATAGTTATTAATAATTTCTATACGAAAAGAAAAATCTAGTTTTAATAACATGAAAATGATTCCTACCATTAAAGCATGAATTTTTCTTACAAAGAAAGCAAAAATTCATACGTTCTTAGTATGTTTGAGAAACACGTCTTCGTAGTATGCATTTAATACTTTAAATGAATGAGCGCCACGCATAAATTGTATGAAACCAAAACCTACTACTATTGCAGGAGTCTCATGCCTTTTCGGTATTAGAGTCCTGCAACTGGCGATCACCAAGTTTGAGTCAAGTTAAAGTGAGCGTAGCTTAATCGCCAGTTGCAGGACTCTAATACCGAAAAAGCATGAGACTCCTGCAATAGTAGTAGGTTTCAGTTTCATACGATTTGCGTGTGGCGCTTATGCATTTAAAGTATTAAATACATACTACGAAAGCATGTTTCTCAAACCTTTTAAGCATGGACTGTTTTAGAACTCTTATAGAACATTTGTTATAGAATAATTTAAGAACAAATTTCCGGATATATTCTATAACAAAAAGAGAATATTGTTCTAGAAAGGTGACATAATATTGTTATATCAAAATTCTAGAGCAAAAAAAGTACAAAATTTCTAGAACATTTGTGATTTAAATGTTCTATAACACTTATGGTACTTATATCTAAGAAGAGTTCTGCAACAAAAAAATAGAATAGTTATGTAACATATTAGGAACATTGTTCTAGAACACTCACAG